CAAATAGAAATCCGGAAAATAAAAATATAGAAAACGACAGGCACATCACAAATGGTGGAGGACAAGAACAAATGCTGTTACGGGAGCCAGCGTGGGGGGGGGGGGGGAACAGAGGAATTCGATCGGACGCATGCAAAAGCTATCTCCTCGATGGCTTTCACTATCAATTCGGAGACGCCGACGTCTGGGCTGTTCTTGCCTTCTCTAATTTTTTACCGGCTTTCATTTTTTGTATCAGTCCCGTTCAAATATCGGCCTTTGGCCACATCTTCTGTCCAAGTGCCGGAGTTCCGCCGTTCAAACCTAGTGTTACAGACTCGGTGATCCTTGCCTCCTATGGTCATTCATCAGACCTAATATTTTGCCATCGGCCCCTATCACCACGCATTGATGGTGCGTCAATCCCCACCTTCTACCGTTAACATTTAGTGGGTAATTAATTTGACAACTTTCCCCTTCTATAAATTTTCAGAGACTTCTACAAGTTCCTACCAGTTCTTGCCATCAACCTTCGATAGTCTCTTCGCAGTTCACATCAATTACTACCAGGGTTCACGGTCAACTCGAAATGCCCTACATTCCCACAGAATCTCGCCCTAAATGATCTCATATTAGCACTTGTCCTTTGTTACAAGTCCTTTCCACGGTGATCCACGAACCCTTCACATCCTACATCATCCACTAAAATGTCAAGCTTCCACTGTCGAGAGAGAGCGTATCCGTTTGGGTGATTCCTATAAGGTTCCTTTTCGGTTTGCATGAGTATACATATGATGGTTGCACACGCCAACAAGTGTATGTCACCCGTATTGCCTGTCGCACTTTTGATAATAATCGATTGCTTCTTCACTACACTTCACTAACTACTCCATTCGTCACAATGTGAGCCTTTAGGACTCCTCTCTTGAAAGGCACGAGGTATACCATTTCCTTGTGCTTTCGTGAAGGCTCTGATCATTCGGTGGCCGCGTGGTGTTCGCTCAACGCCCTGAGGAGCTAGTTGACGAAGCCTTTGAGAACGCTGTCTGCACCCGGGGTATCGAAAATCAGGAGTTTTGTCCCTTCCATCTGCTCAGCTTTGAAGCTTTATCGTTCATCATGTTGACTTTCGAGCCCAGATAGAGCAACTAGAGCGTTCATCCAATGTTCGTCACGTTTAGCGTAAGAGCAATGTCGGGCACCATTCAGTTTCTCATGGGCATCGCTTGTGCAAGTTTAGTCACAACCCGATCTTTCTACCTACTACCCTACCTACTACCAGCGCTGTAGAATTTGGCCAGCACTCGTTATACCTGCTCGTTGTCCGTTGTCGTAAACACGATGTAATCCACAGAGCGGAAATGATGTCTCCGTCGGCCGTCCTTTACTCCTGTAATGTAAATAATATCGCCTAGTTGCATTCCTCCCCTTATGATGGTCGTGAATTCCTCGTGGAATCGTTGGATCCTAATCTCGCGGTTGTTATAGAGTTCACAACATAGTATCCATATCTGTTCTCACTTTGTACTATCTTGGCACTTCAACTAATCATGAGACTTTATGGACATCACCAAAAACGACACCACTTACACACATGGCTGATCTTCATCTAGACTTCTAGTCAATCGCCTTGAGGATGACAATGTGAAGAGTTTGTAACCTACAGACAGCGGGCAGATTAGGCAACAATTACCGATATCGTCTAGATCTCTCTCATTATACAACAGTACAATCTTGTTGGTTCCGGATCGTTCTCTTGCAGTCCGACAGATACCTCGTGAGGAGGCGAGCCAGGGTTTTGACGATGGCCCGCCTCCTCACGATGACGAAATGACCTTCTTGTTATTCTTGTTTTCTTTGTAATCATAGCGTGCTGTACGATCGACGATGGTGTCCAATATCGAAAGAGAAAACAGAGGAAACTGCATATGATTTCTGCGAAAAAATAGCAGCTAGGCAAACAGACATAGCAGATGACTATAAATTCACTGCTTTCCTACCGGGATCGAGAAGCTGTCAACTGTACTCCTTTTTGACGTAGTTGGTAGGGAAATTTTCCAACATACTTGCAAGGGAAATGAGTTGTCTACTGACAGTTTCAGGGTTTCTTAAAATTCGCTGCTACCTAAATTTATTGAGACACAGAACCTGAGGCAAAGGGGGCGATGGTTTTATGGTGAAACTCAAAAAAACAGCGATGTCAGTCATGCAAAATCTCTTTAGAACTTTGAAACAAAAATTTGAGGATGTGATCCATTTCATCATGGAACTGCTCACGAATGACTACCAGCCATTGCAAATGAGAGAGATTTTTGAACCCTGTAACCAAAATCCCAGCACCCACTTGGCCACGACCGATTCTTACGAGAGCTTGACAACCTGAATCGGACCATCGCAATCTAGAAGATTCTCGTTGCCTACTCACCAATATCAAGCCAGAAGAGAGGCGATAAATGTCTCATATGCACATGCAAAAGCTTTACAGAGAAAAATATTCTTCTTCAAAGTTGTCGTCGGCGATTTTAACTTCTAGACTGGTCCCATAAAACGGCTGAAGAGCTCAACATCGGGACCATCGGATCAGAATGGGATGAGTAGGATTACTGGCATGAACCGGCAGTGCTGCACCACATCCCAAGACCTACTCGTTATTGGGAGTCAATAGTGGGGCATATATTTGAATAGTCTCCAGCGTCCCACACATGACGGTCATCTCTCTCCATCAACACAATCATGGCCTTTAAGTTAATTTACTCCTTTTTCTGGGCGCCAGTTCTCTTAACATCTTGTTCAATACGGGTCCGTTCTTGCTCTCAGCCTTGTTCTAGTCCCGAATTTTCTGCAAACAATCAAAGCGAGACTATATTCAGCTTTTGTTCAGGAAGCACATTACATGGTGCTCTCAGGAACCTGCCTCTGATGACAGTCGGTTGCGAGCATTCATGCGATGCTTATAATTAGCGAAAGGAGAGAAAGTGTTCATTCTTGACTCAGCCGTAGGAAGGGTAATTAGCTGGCCTATGTAGTTGTGATGGTTGCACAGATTTATAGTTGTCCTTGAGAAAGAAGTGGTGAAAAGAGCAGAAATGGCCTTTTGGAGTGTGGCTGGCATGAAACCTGAAGTATGTATGTACATACCGATTTGAAGAGGGAATGGCGGAATCGACGTTGCTGAACTGTGTAATCCTCACTCAATTGCTTGAAAATGCCTTTCTTTTAACAGGAACTGAACTTTGCTTTTAGGGATTGGCTGGAAAATCTTGGTACTCTTTTAGCGACCAAGTGCTTAGCCCATTGCAGCTCAGGAATCCGTCAATGTGCGATTTTCTACACATTTAGTGTAAGATGGCGTACGACTCAAATTGCAAGGAAAAAGTGGCCATTTCGTCCAGCGGACTTTCGAAGCTGTTCAGTAATGTCGATATTTTTTCAACGAAATGGTTCCTTAACATATCATTTGATCCCCTACTAAGGCACTTATATACGATCGTTATTGATTTTAATACAAAGGTTTGTTGAGGTTCATATGTATGTATTGTGGAGCAGAATCTACGCTATATAAATGTATTAAAACAACGAATCACTGAAGCTCCATCTTTCCCAGAAAACGGCATGGGAGAATATTCCACAGGAGAAGATCGGCGAGCTCTCGTGTCCATGCGACGCTGTCAAGCGGTTATTTCGTTAAGAATTCAAAAATGCAGGCAGTATAATGGTGTATGATTAAAAAAACGATGTGAAGACTTTCAAAATATTTCCCAAGTTAGACAGACAGACAGACAGACAGACAGACAGACATTGTTAGACAATAGAAAACTTATTCCCCTATCACATCCAGTAATAGGCATTCAAAGTGGAAAAGTCAAAAGAAAAGTTATACTTCATCTGAGACTAAAGGGTGGTTTTACCTGTATCCGTTCTCTTGAGACGCTTGGATTCGGCGGCCAGCTGTTTCGCCGTAATTTCTGACACTGGATCGGAGTTGTGAATATCGCTAATCTCGCTTCACTCGTAGCTCCTGCATGGATGACACTTAGGTATATAATATTTATGCGATATTCGATGCATAATAACGCTTTAAAGCGCTAGTGGAGAAGTGTTCCACCCTCAAAAGGGACACAGAGAGCTTCCAGAAGATTTACCTTCATTTATTGTTCTTATTTCTCTTGATACCGTTCACCTAGTCGACTTGAATAATGAGCTGTCGATGTTCTTCAAAGCTTCAGATGATCAAAGGCGATTGGGTGCACGACCTGGTAGAAGACATTTATTGGCACTGGGTGCTTCCACGCCGCAGATGGTTAATAATGGTGTCTGAATTTTGCAGAAATCTCCGCCAAGGCCGTCCATTTCCTCTCCAGCGACCCTGTCCAACTGAGCTACATAAAAGTTAGTTTTCTGTTGGCTCGTGAGCTCAGAAGAATGCATGCGGATTCAGTCGCTGAGCCAGAGCCAACTCTCAATTTTTCCACCGCTTTCAACTCCACATTGAATTATCCCAACCTGCAAGGTCTTTGCCCTTTACACCTTGACGGAAGATTTTATTACAAGCATAATGTTTGTATCACCTGTATTTCTGTTTATTTTGCAAACCAGTTGGTTATCGATTTGCTATAGCAAAAACCCATAGTGCCCTCATTCTTTTCTGTCGCAAGCAGCGGTCTCTGGGTTCAACAAAGCCGTTTTAACAGAAGCTGAACAGGAGCCACTGTAACGACTGATGCAGCTTTTCCGATTTAAAAGAAATGTGCCATTTTCACAATATCGCTAGTATTGACGTCTTAATCATTCTTTCTAAGAAATTCACGAAATGTTGACGAAGAATATGTAGAAATTGTTTTGTTTATGACTCACTCCGCTCTATATAAAAGTTGGGCATGCAGATGCTCAGTCGGTCGATCCCAATGAAGACATAAAAAGTGATCGTCCCGCAACACTACCATTCCTGGAACTCCCACGTGCAATCGTTCCTCATGAAACGTCTTCAACTGATCTACAAGTTCACATATTGGCCCAACATCATGCGCGGCATACCTTCGAATCGAATACGGAGAAAATATCGAGGTGAAATTACTAATGAGACGCTCTCGATTAACAACGCTCCACAATACAGTCAGTCCTGGAGCTCAGTGCACTCGCCTTGGGAGCGACGAGTGAGTCATCTCAATAAGCAACTGAACGTCATCGTCAATCAGCAACACATATGGTCCGATTCCAAAACAGCTTTCCATTGGTCAAAACATTTGGAAATTTACTACGTGAAGACTATAAAGAAAAATGCACCGAAAGCAACTTTTCGATATGTTCCTACGAATGCCAACCCAGCTGATATCGGCAGCAGGGGATCAACAATAACAGATTTGCGCTCCCACGACCTATTGTGGAGCCGACCTCCCTTTCTACAGCTCAGTATGGGAAAATGGCCGAAAGATATTAGCGATGGATTGGCGATAGAAACTGTATCTGCTGCCATAACAACACAGGAAGAAGCACCTGTCATCGATAATACATTGCCGTGACGCACATGAACTTCCCTACTAAATGTCATGCAAATAGTCTTGTTATTCCTCACCAATATTCGAGCAGCAAGGAAAATAGGAGCAAACACACAAAACCGAACTACAAGGCACAAGGCAGCGACCATTGCTCTATTTCGTCAAGCACAACTGCACAGCCCTATCTAGCCAGAAGACGAGTATCCGAGCACACTTCGACGCCAACAGCCGTGTGTGGAGACCTTGCGGAAGAACTGACAATTCCTCTCTCTCCTTCGTGAATAATCCGATTATCCTGCCGCGACGTACCTGAATAACTGAACTTCATATCCCCCATCAACATATGAAATACCACCACATCGGGGCTTCACAAACGCTCATAATGCTACGACAGCGAGTCTGGATCCCGCAAGGCCATGTTGAGGTACTAATTGTATTTCTGTATTTCTGATACTGTATTTCTACAATGGAGGGGAGAAGGCTTGACGCTTTCATCTACCTCTCTTCCCCGACAATCCGGTTGAAAGAGTGAAACAGCAACCTTACCCGTTATTCGATAGTGCCGTGTTCACCGTTTGCTCTGAAAATTTCTAACGAAACCTTCAAAATCAGGATAGCCTCAATTCCTTGTTTCAACACCAGAGCCATATATGTGGACACAGTGAATTCTCTCAGTGCCTCATGTTCCCTACACTTCTGCGTCGATTCATCGCTCCTAATGGGACTCCCAAATGATTCATGGCACTTTCCGGTGCAATGTCCTCGACACTCACACCCAATGCCAAGACACCATCGACTGCTGCTCCGCTCACAACATAGGCTTCAAATTCATCGCGGCACTGGCAAACTGACAAGCAGGCGGTTATGAAAGGAGAATTGGAATCTTCAAAACTTCATTCAAACCAGCAATTCGAAATCAAAGAAATACTTGACTACGACGAATTCGCTACGCCCATTAAGGAATGCGAAGCCACCTTCTATAGTAGACCAATCACCTATGTCTACAGTGACATCGACTCCGGATTCGATCAAATGATTTTTTGCGCCCTCTCGCAATAGTAGGCTTACCTCGCCTTGTCGCAGAAGATGACGACAATGACGAAGGGAAACCCGACAAAACACCTAGAGATTTTTTCACTAAGAATGGAATACTTTCATTAATACTGCAGCATTGTTTTTGGCACGAATCTTCGCGAAAGATTCCAGCATGAACATTAACAACCTTTCCATACATCACAAGGATCTCCATTTGATGAACAGATAGTAATTATTCGCGAAGCGCGATCACGAGGCCAGTGGAAACTGGGAAGAATAATGAGCTACTCCGATACATCAGCAATCGTCAAGCTTACCAGCGGTCGCATCATCAGCAGACCCCTGCGTCTACTATACCCATTGGAAATCCCACCAGCAAAGTAATTGAGTTCTGCTAGCTAAACGAGTAAATCAGAAAACGAATACAACAAGGAACATCGATGACGAATCACGACCAATGATGACACGCAGTCTAGCTCAGCGGCTCATTACCTCATTTGCTATCGTGCTTATATGCTTCACGGTATCAGCAAGCTCCAATGTCGTCCCCGATACGAAATGCACAGATTTCCAATCAGCGAGACCCATAGCTCATGCTGATCAGTGCTCATCCATACATCGCCATCACAACCACGCTTTTAAACAAGAGAATAATGTGCCGGTTCTCTATTACGTGCCAACTTGGTCATAACCGGATACCACGACCTCTTCAACCCAACTTCAGGTTTTGTAACGATAGATGCAGTTGCCCCGGGTGAACAACAACGTGCCGCCACTACGATGGGATATTAAAGGCGACATCAAGATACTCACCCATACCAGTTTCAATGGCCACGTTCCTGCTACTTCATGTCTGCTCCTTTGAACCAATATACACTACTTTGTTTCTCCGGAAGAAGACTCGGAGTATTTCATCAAATCCAGCTTTTTGATGAAACACTCGTTATCGTCCCGGAGCTTCACAATCAGTCCTCCGACATCCTATCTCACGACGATTTCTACTGCTTCGATATACATGGTGACAAAACAATCAGGACACATCCTTCTTCAACGACAGGAATACCAGAAAACTCAAGGCACCATCGGTGCATAGCTCCTGATCAAGCGAAGACTTATTGTGCACATCCAACTCCTGCGACAATCTATCATCTCAAAAACAACTCTATCGTAATAAAGGGATGTGGAACCACAGCCCGCACCTACTATCCAGCTCTCAAAAGAACGCCATTGAAATCACCCACGTCATACGCTATACCGAAGTGCACCACCGGCAGAGTCGTCCTCGAAACAATAGAGACATCCCAAATGATCGAAGCATGCACGTCCTTCACTTGCATTTATATATCCAACCACTCGCCTGACACCAGGAACCTACTTCCTACGTCTGCAATCGTATTTCAACATACGGTGAAGTTTACTGCCTAGAATGACGGGAAACAGATTTTCGCAAACGATCTCATCTGTGAAGGAAAACCCATTTGCGGCCTTTCTTCTGCTGGGAACAAGCTTCCAATCTTCGCTGCTGGACCACAACCGTGATCATCATCACAGCAGCAGTCTCCTTCCTGTCCCCAATCGCCTGTCACATCATCTCTCTTGTACGCAAATGCTTTTGGTAGTTTTTCGAGGAGCTTCTCTGGATGCTACTGAAGCTCATTGAAAAAATCATTCCATGTCGAAGACGGCATGATGAATATGTCAATCTCCACTTCCCGTCATACTAGTAGACAGTAGCTCAACGGTTGATCGGAAAAACTCCCATCATCACACTTGTACTCCAGTATCAGTATCAGCGACACAATCCAACGCTGCAAAGTCAACTCGACAAACGAAGAATTTGAATGTGATTAGGCAGTACCTACAATCAGTATCTACAACTGAACCCGTCGAACAAGACGTATGTTTGCTGTTGCGCAACTACAAGAACGAAGAACACGCAAGAATCATCTCACACGGGTTCACGACATCGCCCATTCTGTTCAGGAACGAACGGCATATTACGGCAGAGATTACACATTTTAGACCAAATCCCACCATCTTTGGTGGAACACTTAAAGCTGCAAGGGAGAGACCTGCAGCGGCATTACTACTCCGGCCAACATATACGAGTTTAGCCAGTACGCGAAGAACAACCCAGGCTACACCTACTGCTCACCCTCTTGCAAAAACCTATGGGGTGATCTTTGCTTTTGTTGTAGAAACATACCTCTTTTACAAGGTATACGCATGGCCGAAATCCGTAGCAATCTACCGCATTTTCACGTGCTCCGTACGATCAGTGGCAATCATGGGAGCGATCTTGAGGTTCTCAACGAAAGACAAAGAACACATTTTTGTCTTGAATCCAGCTCGCCCACACGTCTGGAACTCCATCGAGCCTACACTAAGGGCAACAACTAGTAATTCGTCATTTGCGTCTGTTTGAAGAAATTCTGTGAGGTCGCTGTAAAGATCCGCGTCGCATGTTTGAGAGATTCGTGGCAAATGTTTATGTGCGTTCTGTCATATTGAACGTCGTATTTGTGAGCTCATCGTTGGCGCTTGCAGGTGAGACGTTTTGTGCGATTGTCGTTGGCGTCGTCAAGTAAGAACATTAGGCGCCGGTGGCCGTGAGGAACGATCACGGTTTATATTTTTATTGGGAACGACCGACTGGGCATCTGCATACCCAACTTTTATATGGAGCGAATTGAGTCATAAACAAAGCAATTTCTTCATATTCTTCGTTAACAAATACATGTATGACGTGGCTATTCGAGACAAACGGAAAGAGATAAGCAAATGAAAGAGAGTACATTGTCGATTGTGACCGAACCGTGGCCGAAGTGGATGGCAAGATTAGGGTATGAAATGGTGAAAGAAGAATCAGAACCGGGACCTAGTGAGCCAGTCCACATGAAACGAGTAGACGAGGGAGAGAGAAGGAGATTGGAAGGCGAATTGAAGAACTTAAACGCGGCTTCAACTACCTACCAAAGCGAAAAATTCGAGAATTCGCAAAGCACGCTGGAATTTCTCGATGCTCTCTCTAGAGGAGACATTTTATGGTTTCATGCCCCAGAATCACAAGAGGAATGGATAGATGGGATGTTATTGAAGATTAGGGACTGTGTCGTTATTGTCCGGATATGTCCAAACAATCGAATAAATGCTGCCCTTTCGACACTATTCCTAGACGGGCTCCTTTTCTAAGAAGCTTGGTCCCTCAAAAGCCCATCATCGGCAGTTTGCCCCAATTCAGATTCAAAGCCAAAATGTCCCGCCAGAATCAAAAAGATACAGGTGAATTTCGCAGCCAGTAGCGTCATTAGCGGTTGTATAGCTGGCCATTCAATCAATATAGACTGAACTCATTTTCTTGGTTTTCCACACAGTTTTTCGTTGTCTTATAGCTGAACTTATGTAAACTTGTTGAGGATTCGTCATATTTTCATTCTTGATGTCGTCGCTGAGAAATCTACCGTATATAAGGAACACCGGAGAAACCGTGGCTGATTCGTCCTCTTCAATTTCGCGTGATAACTTCTCGACGTTGTCTTCTTCAATATCCGGCTTCCGATGAGCAATAAACCCGATAAAGCTTGTTAGCTCGGTTCAATAAATGTAGTATGGGTGACTGCGGGAGGTCGTCTGTGCGGTGGTATGTAGCCTACGCCTCTGCTTGCCCGCGCACTGCTGCGACCGTGTCTTCAAATATGAAGCAACGCATGAGCATGAATCCGAGCTGCGAAGACTGATCCGAGCTATCAGAGAGAAGACGTTCCCGGTACACGTGATTGTGCGAGGAAGCCACAAAATTGTGGCATCGATTTCTAGACGAAAAAATTCCAGTGCAGGGATGCGATATCGCGGTGACCCGGAGGATCCTTGGGGATGACTCCTGTTGCCCGCGAAAATGAAATGGGTTTTTGAATTGGAGCAATCACCGTGGATAATACAGAATGAGATACAAAACGGCGATACTTTTGGGAAGCCGAGCAGAGACAATA